AAATCTCATAATCATTAATGTATAAGTTTGAAAAATGTGAAAGCACATATAAACGCTCGTAATTGCATCCTCTATGCTTAGACGATAGCTATATGGTCGTTTTGATTTTTAAAACCTTCCAAATCTTACAAATAGTGTTTTTTATTTGAGTACAAAATTAAAAAAAATTAATAATAACTATTGTAGAAGTGTGAAAAATATAAATAAATAATATATATATATATAATCACTCGTAATGACAAGCTTTACAACTTACGTGAAGGGATCAACTCCAAAATTGTAGCATTACGTTTTACATTTTTTTGGGTCAAATTATGTTTTTCATTTTCATTATTTATTGATTTAAATTATATTTTTCTTAACGGATAACTAATCGGATCATAATACCTAATAATATTAACCAGTCGATTTTAGGTCGGGTCATATTACCTTTTTAATTTAACGGGTGTTATACGACACAACCTGTTAAGCTATTGGGTATGACACGAACACAAGAAACATGACACGAATGTCAAGTCTATTATTTATACTTAAATCAAATACATAATTTTATTTTGATACATAAATTGCAAAATAAAATGGCACATAGATTCTAAAATATTAAAACATATTGAGAACATGAGGAGCAAACATATAATGAGTATTCATTTGAGTATTCAAAAAGTCTCTTACATTAAAATGAAGAAAAAAATAGCAAAAAGAAAGTTATCAATTTTCAATATAAGTGATAGTCGTAACCTAGGCGAGCTAGGCAAACTCCTTGGCAAGTCAAGGTGCCTTTTCTTAATTTTCAAATACCTAGGCATTAATCGGGCTGGTGGCTAGCTGCCTAGCGCTTAGGCGGAGATTTTTAGAATAATGTATACACATGCAAAATCCCGCCTAGGTGGAAAATTTTAGAACAGTGTAAGCACATGCAAATTTTTTTTTTTTTTTTCTCTGATGTGAAAGTGATACTCCCAACTCAATCAAAAGAGAAATGAATGATTGGGTTTAAAATAAAACGGTACATTTCTTTAACAAAGGAGTTGTCATTTATGTTTATAACAAGACATTGCTTTACGCAATTGACCTATTGGGTGTGTCATGTCGGCATAATTTTTATTCTTATGACTAGGATTATAATGTCTCGCTTAGTAGATATACTATAATCAAGAGAAGAGTCTTTATCCACATTTACATAGAGAAAATGTCAATACTTATACTGTAATTACAGATAGATTTTTTAATGTGTTTGAAATATTAAGCAGTACGTTATATATACAGTCATTATACAAATGGAGAGAATTTTTTTCAAATGTTTCTTTATTTGTATAATGATATATAAGGTATGCGTCAGTGTTTCAAACACACTAAAAAACGTCTCCCAATTACATAGAATATTTTAATGGTTGATTCGTTAAATCACACACTACTTTGTCTATTATCAACAACTGTAGTCTATAAAATGTGAATTTATGTCTACTTCAACAAAATAAAGAATGGTTTTCTTTAGACCAGATACTATAACTTTTATGTTTAATGATTTGTTGAGTATACACCCTAAATTATAGTATAAAAAACCCCTAAATATATAATACATCATGATTTGTTAAACTCAAAAAAGCATTACTACTATTATTTCTTAATTAACAGAAGAACCTTTATCAACCATTACACAGAGAAAGCTCAATTATATCGCCATCACTCCAATTTGTATTAATAATTGTTGTTCATGAGGTTTGATTCATAATTAAGACTATATAGTCATAATCATTCCGAGCCCTCCCTCCCTACCTCCCTCCTACATATATAACTTTGCTGACCGCTGTTTCTATAATGTTGCTAGGTCTATAAACCCTAAACCGTCAGTACAATTCCTTACAGTTAAGAAGGTCCTTCAGATATATGCATGGGTCTCCAGTCACTAAAATAAGCTCTGCTCATGTGAGTGAGGCCAGCCTTGCGAGCTATCGAGCTAATTAAAGCGTATCATATGGTACTGAATTGGTACCCCGCAGCCATATATGGTTGCATCTCGAAGTTTTAAGTTTTCTGAAGCATTCTACACTTGGAATTGGAACCCTTCGATTCAATTACATTAATATGTGTGTGTATGCATATATATTATCCATATGAAAACTCTTGGTCATGAGAGCTTGGCTTGCTTGCGCCATATATATATATGGTGTGATCATCTTCAACACGTTGCAAGTTGAACCAGCTGGTCCCGTTTAAAGTTGGAAAAAAGGCAACAGCTGGCCATGGGCGAAGTGATAAAAAGGAAGATTGATCCATAGCTTAGTCTAATAAAAGGAGGGCATGGGGCAGCAACCACTTCAAGCATCTCTCTTTAAAAACACCCTAATGGGAAAATTACTATAAATAACTACACAGGTAACCAATCCGTTAATACGTCAGGCTGATAGACTTCATCCGTATGTCAAGTTGCTATCATACCATGAAGAAGCTAAATTCCACCATAAATTCAATCGAACAAAATTAACATAAAGATGGGTAATGCCAGAGAAACTAAATTCCACCATAAATTCAATCGAACAAAATTAACATAAAGATGGGTAATGCCAGAGAAGCTAAATTCCACCATAAATTCAATCGAACAAAATTAACATAAAGATGGGTAATGCCAGAGAAGCTACATAGGAGCATTTTTGGCTATATTCTTTCGTTTACTAGCCAACAACAGAATTTTAAGATTCTAGGAACATTTTACTATGTTGTTGTTTGTTTGATTTGTTTCCCATTTGCACTTTTAGAAAATCTAGGGTCAAGAGGCACTAGAAAAGCCAAGCAACCTTTAGGGTGGTAGGGTTGTTATTTTTCACATACTTAATAATAAACTTTGAGATTTTGTCAATTCCTAAAGAATTCTAGTTTGCTATAAGGAAAATCTAGCGTGAGATGTTAGGGTTATTTCGTTCGATTTCTTTGTTCTTTATATCGCATATTCACGATGGCTCTGAGAGAGTGAAGGAAAAGTGACCATGTCCACGTGGAGGGGGGCAAGTCACATCAAAAGGATTAAGATACGCAACTCTTATTAAAAGAAGTTCCCGCTTTAAATCTTTGTTATCCTTTAATAATTTTCACATTTCATGTGTTCCCAATCTCCCCCCCCCCTCCCTCGGATTTATCCTCTCCTGAGTTAATGGAGAGGATTCTCCTGACCAACCATTGTGGACCTAGATTTTTATCTAACGGTTACAAAAAGGGACCCAGGATTAAGATACGCAACTCTTAGTAAAAGAAGTTCCCGCTTTAAATATTTGTTATCCTTTAATAATTTTCACATTTCATGTGTTCCCACCCCCTCCCCCCCCCCCCCTCGAATTTATCCTCTCCTGAGCTAATGGAAAGGATCCTCCTGACCAACCATCGTGGTGGATTTTTATCCAACGGTTACAAAAAGAAGGGTCCCTTTAAAATTATAATAATTGTAGCCGTTGGATAAAAATCCAACGGCCCATGATGGTTGGTCAGGAGGATCCTCTCCATTAGCTCAGGAGAGGATCCAAATCCCCCCCCCCCTTCTTCTCCCTTCTCTCTTCTCCCCTTGCCGTGGGCAAAAAAGTACAATTTCTTTCTTGGTAATACTAGAAAAAATAAATTTGTAAACGAAATTTTAAAAATTAAATGATATAAAAATTGATGATTGATTTATTAATTAAGCGTTTATAAACATGTTCATTTCTATTGATGAGACATCATTTGACTTGTAAATTTTATCTAAAAATTTAGTCTCACTAAAATTACATTTCTTAATCTAACCGTTAATATATACACCACTACCGCTTCCTCCACCACCACGATGACAAAGTGTTTTATTTTGATGGAGCTGGTGACTTTGGTGGGTGGGGGCCAATGCATGCAAAGGCAAAATAATCACACAAATGCAAAGTGTTTGGATGCGAAGCTTTTGTAAAAGGAAGAGAGAAGAAATTAAAAAAAGAAGGAAACGGATGAAGAAGAAGACCACATCAAAATCATAGACAGCGTGCTGCCCACTAAAACCTTATGCCATGCCACTATTGACCAAACCACTTTTTCCATGAGATTCCCCAAAACCGCCCTAAGATTCTATGGCACCAAAAATAGATAAGGACCTTTTTATAATTTAAAGTTTAAACCCATAAATTAATTAAGTACTGAACACGCTTCCGTTATATTAACATAAACACACTTTTATAAGCTCTTAATTATACTTGTAGCTGATCTCATCGCCCCCCACAACTAATACACCAAACCAAACCGCCCCATTTCAATTTTGAACCTACATGCCAAAACAATTGAACCTAAATTATATTTGGAAAAAAAGAAACAGAAGGTTTTGTCTGGTATTCAATTTAAAACACGTTACAGTTCTTTAAAAATAATGATCTTTTAAAAATAATGACTGTAGTTAATAAATTGCTTAGTACTCATTAATTCAAAAAAATTCAAATTTAAAAAGGATACCAAATAACCTCTTAATTTTGTAGTATTATTGTCCTAACTAATAATTGTCGACTAAACATAAAGACAATGTCGAGAGCCAACTCTAGTCAAAGTTAGACCTAATTAGTAGCATGGAGATAATTTTTTTGATTACATAATATTGATATACTCCACTCATTCTATACCATTTAAGCAAAAATATCATGGATTAGTGGCAGTTTTCTTTTATATATTTTTTTTTTTTTAAATAGGGGATTAGCCGGTAGCTTCGCCACGACACAATCCACCCTTCCGTCGGTCGGGAAGGCTCACAAAGACATTTCAACCTTCCTCTGACCATCATTGTACGATTCACCAGCAGCATGAATCAAACACAGAACGTGACGTGTGAAATACATGCCTAAAATTCGTCCCCAACCAACCACTAGATCACCCGTGGTGGTTGATTAGTGGGAGTTGATAGTGGATGATTTGCCCACAAGATGGTGAAAATTCAAAATCATAACCTATTTAATTTTCGATAAAAATAAGAAAAAAAATACAAATAATTAATAACAAGTCGTCCATGAAAATTAAATTAATTTACTTAACTCTATTCAAACCAAAGCACTATTATCTCCCTCTCTCCTTTTGCAAACACAAGTACACTCATTCCATGCACGTGCGAGAAAAAACCAAAACACGTGTGAAATATATGATCAACAACCACCGTATCAAGGCCTCCAAGCACTAGCCCAAACCACCGGCTGATCCTTCCACGACAAGAATATTCCGGCGATGGAATCCGTGCACTGTGTCATTGCCCAACCCTCCTTATACCTCCTCAACAAGGCGCGTACGTCATCGCACACCTCATCACTGAACATCGCGGGACTAAACCCCGCCACATGCATACGCCTCGACCAGCGGGTGGCGGTCTCGCGCCGCTCCACCGACTCCGAAGGCGCGCAGGCCACCAAATCCACCACAGCTCGCCCGGCGGCCCGCTCGAGCATCAACCGCTCGTTGCTGGTCCTGGAAAAGCTCTCGTCCAATGCCTCGAAGTAAACCCTAAACCATCTCAAGCACTCTTGAAACCCATGAACGAAGTCAAACCCGTCAACCCCAACGTCGAGATCAGCCTCTTCCTCAACGAGAGTAATGATCCTCGGCCTCAAGCTCCGAAACGCCGAAACAAGATAATCGCGGCGATTTCCGACTGACTGAACGGAATGTAGAGTGCCGATGCAGTTGATTGCCAAGGCCTCATCGTCTCTGATATCCAACTCTGATAAATTCAGCTCGGAAAGATCGCCGGAGTGATGGACGGCGTTGAATTTGAAAGGCACCCCCATCAACCGGGCAAACTTTTCCATCCTGGCGCCAATTTCCTTCATTACTTTCTGCGCGGCTGCGCCGCCAGAACCGTCGTTGGCTCTGTTAGCCACAACAGTGGTGAGACGCAAGTGCGGCGTCTCATCAGTACGAGTGGCCAGCGCCTCGAGCAGAGTCGGCCACTGGGTGCAGTAAGTGTTGCTGATGTCGATTATGTGAAGCTTGGGCTCACCATCAAAGGCCTCCATGATCGCGCCATTACACGCCACATGTCCGAAAGTGGTCCAAGGGCTGACCTCCTGAAACTTGAGCACCATTTTTCTTGTGGACTCGAAGGAACACGTTTTCTCCGAGGCGGAGATTAGGGTTCGGTAGCAGCGGTCGCCGGAGTCGGTCATGCGGCTGAACAAGGCTTGTAGGAAATAGGAGGCGAGTTTCTGGTCAGTGTCGCCGTATGGACTGCCGAGCTCGTTAAGCATCCACATGAGCTGCTGGACGCGGGAGCTGTTCTTGTCAGCGATGGCTCTGGCGGTCTCCAAGAGGATTTCAGGGGCCCACTTTCCGTTGGAGAGCTCGAAGTTGACGAGGGAGGGGGAGAAGGAAAAATCGGCGGGGGTGGGAGTGGTGGTGGCGGTGGGGAGAGGGTTTGGGGTGGGAGGGGTTGGGTGGTTCGATGGGAAGTAGTGTTTGGAAGAAGACGAGGAGAAGTCTTCTTCATCCATGAAAAAGTTGAAGCATTCTTCTCCAGCGTCGTCGTTTTGGTGGGGGTAATTAGGGTGAGGAGGATTACTAAGGAAGGAGGATCTGGAGCTGCTGGAAGTAGTGGTGGTTGTTGTAGGTGTTGAGGTTTTGCTGGTGGTTGAGTTGTTGAAAGATTGTTGGTGATCAGATTGGAGACTGACTAACCTAAACAAGGTATCCATTTAACCTGCAAAGACCCACATCAATAAACTTAACTTTCGGAGAGAGAAAGAGAAAGAGAAGAGAGAGAGAGAGTGTGTGTGTCTGCAGTCTTGGATTGTTTTGGACAGCAGATGGATAGATAGATGGGTCTTTGTGTTTTTAACTGTGGGAGAATGTGGGATAGAAAATGATTAGAAGGTGGAGGAGGATATCTTCAAGTTGGATTTTAGCTGGGTTAATTTCAATAACATAACATAGGTATAGGACTAGGAGAGGGGAGTTTGTACCGTTGTAATATTGAGAACTAAACTAATCATCTATAATAAACTAATGTGCATGACTTTATCAAAAATATAACATACTAATTTCCTACCTATAACTATGTATTATTATTAATAGATGAAATCTTTTAAGAATGTATATGTAAATTATCTGACAACTTAACATATTATATTAAACTCTAGTTAATTAGGTTAATTGTCTTAGCAAGAGGTAGATGTGGAGGTAATTGGGGAATCTTAAGTGGATAATATTGCTTTTCCTTTGGTTTAATCGATGAGGAATATATCTGAGCAGTGGGTTTGGTTTCTTCTTTTCTAGCTTAGCCTATTCCATGAGGAATATATGTGACTATGCGAGTATATTAGTGGTAGTGGGTTGGGCTAAGTTTTGTGACTGCCTTGCCGCGACGGATGTTTCTTCTTCATCGCGTAAAATCTTTAGTCACTGCCTTGCCGCGACAGATGTTTTTTTCATTGCGCAAACCCTTTAGTCACTGCCTTGCCGCGATGGTTAGCACGCGACGAAGGACCTGCGTCGTGTAAAATGTTTTTTGTACTAATGGTAGTGGGAATCTGATGGGTATTTTTTTTTTTTCATTTTCTTTTTGACATATATATGGTCTTGATGGACGACCAAGACTTAATAAAAAAAAAATATATATATAGAGGTTTTTTCGGTTAAAACATAGAAGGTGAAATGGACCATCTGACAAAAAGACGAAGAAAAAAACTGAGAAAAAGTTAACAGGGTCTAGATCACCAACTGGCTAGTGGATTAGCTTTTCACTCTCTCTCTCTCTGTTTCTCTCATCTCTCTCATTCTGTTTCTCTCTCTAGAGTCGTTTTGGAATAGTTTTGAGTGGGAGCAGGCGTGCCAATTGGGTTCTGGGGGAAGAGAGAGAGAGAGAGATGGAGACACCAGTAAAGCTGCCGGCGTGCATTATATCATCATCAAAGCCACCACCACAAAATATAATTAAAACCCACTCCTCAGTCCTAACAATCCCTGCCAAAATTCCCACCACTTTTACCTTTTGTTGGCTGTTACATTATTAACCCATACACCAATGTCGCATATCTTAACGTAGTAAACAATACCAAAATGTACCCTTCACCAAAACCCAAGGGCATGCCTTTGCCCTTTCACTTCTTTTCCAACACACTTGCTTTTCTTTTTTCCCACTCAATGATCACGCTACACATTTGATTGTTTATAAACACAAACATGCATGCTCTCAATAATCTCTCCACTCCATAACACAGCTATAGCTACCCAACCATTATTATTGTTCATAGTTTTAGTTTCTCTCTCTAAAATATAAGAATTACATGCAGTAACTAGCTAGCTAGTTAGCCAATATCTGTCGGGTGTTGTTTATAGTCGCATGCGCCAGAAATTCCCAAGTCCCCAACTTGATTTTTCATTGTCCTAACCCTGGTTGTCTTGAAGCTAAAACATAATTCCTTCTAGAGAGAAAATCTTTGTCGCCTTGGCCCCGAGATATATCTAGGCTGCTAGTTTCCTCAATTTCTAATATATATATATATATATATATAAGATTAGGAAAACAATATATACTTGTTCTTACGCCAATTATCAAGGGTGATGAGTTTGTATTGTGTAGAAGTTACAAAAAACAGGAATGTTAATGGATCCTTCCTGTTCTTCTTGGTTTCCTTCACGAATCATTAGGAAAATTCCATGCTTTGGACTACTTTTTGTCTCTTGTTGAGAAGTGGGTTTGAGGAATATTTCTTGGGAGGCATCAATTTTTTAAAACATATAAGAAAATTTTTCTTCCCCTCTAAAATGTGCCAACAGTCAAAGAAATTTTTTCTGTGGGAAAGTCGCTCAATTCCCAAGAATTAACAGAAGAGATAATATTCCCTATGAGGAGCAGTTCCGACCCCACTGGCAAAACCATATGGTAAAAAACTTCAAATAAAAAAAGTTATACGCAGTATTTAACATATCCATAAAGTACGTTATTTGTTTGTATAACTATTACCCATCATGTCTATTTATCTTAATATAATTTTAGAGAAAATTTTATTCAGTTCAATAAACAATTTTGTTTTTCAGCTAGGGCTTGAGGTGGTTTGAGTTTGGTTCGGTTTTGAGTTCAAACTGCGCACTCAATGAATTGCATATATATTGTGATTTGTCTAAATTCTAATTTATAAACCACAATGACTCATAATTGATGTAATCAGTTAACTACTTTGTGGTTTAAGATGCACAAAATCGGATTGATTTTAGAACAACGTAAAGTGTCAAAAGTTGCTTCAGTCGCGAAGTGAAGATAATATGTAAGAAGATAGAGATAAAGAAGTAAGCACAAGATGTATGTGATTCACCTTAAGTTGGGTTACGTCCACGACGGTAGATGAGCTCTCATTAATAATGCAGAGTTTACATGATACAAAGGTTTAAGCATAATCATTATTAGTAAGTTCTAAAAGTATATTGAGTGAAAATTTAGGGATTAATTGTAGGATAATGGTCTCCTTTTATCGTTGAGGAGAGTCTCATGTTTTCATATGTGGTCAATGTGGGACTCTAAGAACTTTATTTTGGTGTCGACATGTGCCACATTGTGATTGGTCTCTTGATTGGAGAGAAACTTATGTGTTTCGGCAAGGATGTCTCAACATGAGGTCTTTGAAGGTATTTAGTTGACTGATGATTGGTAATTACGGGATTGATTAAGTATGGTACTTGGTATCTACAACGTTGATCTATTTTGATACACTTGGATGACCAGACAGTCTCCGATTTGAATGACTTTTTACTAATATGATTTTCAACTAGATATTAAGAGATTGAGCAGTTATGTGGTTCATCTTAAGTTGGGTTACGTTCATGAGGATAGATGAGCTCTAATAATGCAGAGTTTACATGATACAAAGGTTTAAGCATAATCATTATTAGTAAGTTCTAAAAGTATATTGAGTGAAAATTTAGGGATTAATTGTAGGAGAATGATCTCCTTTTATCGTTGAGGAGAGTCCCATGTTTTCATCTGTGGTTAATGTGGGACTCTTAGAACTTTATTCTATTTTGGACACATGTCACATTGTGATTGGTCTCTTGATTGGAGATAAACTTATGTGTTTCGGCAAGGATGTCTCAACATGAGGTCTTTGAAGGTATTTAGTTGACTGATGATTGGTAATTACGGGATTGATGAAATATGGTACTTGGTATCTACAACGTTAATCTATTTTGATACACTTGGATGACCAGATAGTCTTCGATTCGAATGACTTTTTACTAGGATGATTTTCAACTAGAGATTAAGAGATTGAGCGGTTCCGATTATGAAACTTTTACGGTTAAGGTACGTTATTTGCAAGTGGAGGAATGAACTCAACTCCCCAAGACAGAGCACAAGTATTATCCCTACAAAAATCTCATTTGTAAGGACAAAGATTTCCTTTAAGCATCTTTCAAGGAAGCCAATGCAGTGGCTGATGCACACTCCGTAAAGTGATTTTTTTTTTTTTTATAAATATAAAAAGTTTGAAATGCTAAAACAACACTACATTAAAATATATAATATTATATATTTATTTAGATATTTATTCTTTGTATTTAATTATAAGCGGTTTGATTTGGTTAATCCACGGTTTGTGAAAATCAAAACTGCATACTAAACTGATTCTTCTAGTTTGGTTTGATTTTATAAACCTAAGGTTCTGAAATGCACTAGGTGCTAGTCAAGCGAGGAGCAGAGGTCTAACTCCTAGGCCTGTAGGTAAGGCCTTGGCAGGGGTCGAGCTGTTTTTTTTTTTTAAATTAAATTTATTATATAACATATAAAATGTCTACTTATACTTTAAAAAAAAAATAATCATATTAGAACATGTTGAAAACATGGGGAAACAAGTATACAAGTATTCAATAAGTCTCTTACAATTTATTCAAAAAGTCTAGGTGCCATTTCTTAATTTTCAAACGTCTAAGGACGAATTAGAACGTAAGCCAGTCGCTTAGTGCCTAGGCTTTACTATGCGAGAACTTTTAGAGCAATGTATAAGCCAAATGGACCAAAAAAAGACCCTAAAATAACATAGGTTAATTTTTTGATTTGTTTACCCAACCCTAATTCCAACATAGGTTGTTGTACCTTTTGGTAAGTTTCAGACCTGCGCCTCCTTGTTGGGGTAATTTTGGAAACTTATTTTTGTTTTTGTTGGGCTCTATAATTCAGCCCATGTAGAATTGGAGGCCTCTGTCTTTATGGTTAATTTTGAGGTGCTTTTGATTAAAGAAAACTATAGGGTGGTTTTTTATTAAAATAATCTTGGTCTAAGCCCTTTTCATTAAAGCTCCCTTTATTTTTTTTTTCCATAGAAGTTAATAAAACAATTTTCATGTCCAACTAGGACTAAGAAAAATAATACCCCTCTCAAACTAAAGTCAATATCACTCAATAAAATTCTCTTCATTAACATGTCCTTAAAACCACACATGTTGATTGTCCTAGTCGTAGAACTGAAAATATTTTGTTGTTAACGCAGAGTCCTTTTATATCCATTAAAATAAGGGAGCTTTAATGAAAAGGGCTTAGACCAAGATTATTTAATAAAAAACCACCCTATAGTTTTCTTTAACCAAAAGCACCTCAAAATTAACCATAAAGACAAGGGCCTCCAATTCTACATGGGCTGAATTACAAAGCCCAACAAAAACAAAAATAAGTTTCCAAAATTACCCCAACAAAGAGGCGCAGGTCTGAAACTTGTTTGTTCTCATGAAGAAGAAAACTCACGTCAGCTCCAAGAAGAGCGTCGATCAGCATTTCGTTTTCTGGGTTTTTCTTCCTTCATTCTTGGTGCATATATCAGTTTTTGAATTTCCTTGTCCAAATTAGATTCAAATTTGGAGAATAACCAGACTTTGAGAAGAAAAAAAATCCCTAATTATTGAA